TGGCTGTGCGTGGTGCGTGTGGGCACGTCCGACAGCCTAGCAGCCATGCAGCTGTGCGGGGGGGGAGGAGGACGCGGACTCCTCTCCTCGCCTCTCCTCACGCGTCTCACGCGAGCACCTTGACCACTGCGGTCGACGCGTTGGTGATGAGCACGAGCGAGTCGCTGCCTCCTCCCGGAACGGTGGCGAGCTGCAGCAGCTTGGCACCCGGCGCCTTGCTGGTGGGCGGGAAGAGCACGGCTGGGAAGTACTCGCCGCTCTGCGAGCCGGGTCGAGCGTGCTCTGGCATCCATGAGACCGGGTACCTGCGGCCGGCGAGGCGGTGTAAGCACCGACCGCGCGGCGTCTCCGCCCGACCACGCCATGGCGGCGGCGCACTGCTTGTGGTGCGAAAACTTGTAGCCGTCTGTCATGAGCAGGATGTTGTGCCCGTCGCTGCTGCTGCGGACCGCAAAGAGGGTGCAGTGAAGAGGGATGAAAAGGGACGAAAAATGCGTGAGCTTGCGGGCTGTGGCGCGTCGCGCACCCGGTCGGCGGCGCGCTGCCGACGCTGGCGTCGCCTAGGCAGGACTTCAAGCAGGACATGCCAGCGAGCTCTCTCAAAGCCGAACGCCGGCCGCTGGGTTCCGGCTCCTAGCCAGATAGGGGGTCTGCGCCCTCTGACTCGCACCAAAACGCCCTACCTACCTACCTATTGCGGGCGCCAATCGCCAGGCTCCGTGCCCCACCTACCTACCTATTCCCAGGCCGCGCAGCGAAGCGAAAAAATACCCGTTAGCCCTCTGTGAATAGGCTCCCAGCGCCCGCCGCGCGCCGGCTTGTACCGCGGTGCGCGCCGCTCGCGAGCCCGTCAGAGCATGGCCTACTGGGCTCTCGAGGCGTTGGACGGCTCCAAAACGGCACTCTCTTCCCTCGACAGAGTCGAGGGCACGGACCCTCCCGCCTACAAGCTCGGTCGCCGCCCGTACGAGGAGAGCCACTTCGGCACCCTTCCGATTTGCGTCTCACGCAATCAGGCGCAGCTCACGCCGTGCCATGACGGGGTGGCGATTCGGCATTCTGGCTCGGCGCCTACCGGCGTGCTCAGGCACCACGGGGCGTTCGACAGCAACGAGGATGTTGGGCAATGGGTTTGGCTGACGCAGGAGATGGGCTCGACAGTGATCCGCCACGGCGACACCATCGCACTCACGCGTGGTGTGAATGCGACCGCGATTCAGCCGCAATTGGTTCCTACAACAGTCATGTTCCGGCTCAAATGGGTCTGCACCAAGGAAGCTCTCATCGAACGCGTGAAGGAGATGCGTGATCTCGCTCACAACGAGCAAGGCAACAAAAAGGTGTATCATCTTGGCCGGCTGGCTTTTGACATCTTGCCATCTGAGCTTCCAGCTGGCGAGATTGAGGCGAACGACATCGACCGCCTGCGCACTGTCAAGCACGTCGGCGAGTGGGCGGTTGGGCAACTGCACGAGCTCCGCACCCACAGCTCGTGCAGCTA